CGGCGCTTCCCGCCGGCCACGCGGAAAGGCACACAATTCGCCGACAACAAATCCCAGCCTCCGTGATGGCCTCCAAGACAGCTCAGATGGCTCAAGATGGCCTCCAAGTTCGCCTTAGATGGTCCAACATGGCCTCCAAGATGGCCTGAGAAGGTCCACGATGCCTACCTACAAGTCCGCCCCTCCAAGTCCGCAGAATACGCCTCCCAGATGGCAAAATGTGGTCTCAAGATGATGGCAGGCGGCCCACGAGGCCCCCAAGAGGCCTCCAAGACAGCCCAAGAGGCCCCCAACAGGGCCGCCAGGAAGGCCCGAAGAGGCCGAAATCATTGATTTCCGTACGACTTTTGAATGATTTTGGCATTTACTCATTATCGGCCTTCAGACGGCCCGAGACGGCCCAAGAGCCCCCAACGATCTCCCCAAGATCGCCCAAGAGGCCGCCAAGACGGCCCCAGAACGGCCCAATTGGCCTCCAAGACTGCCCCAAGATGCATCCAAGACGCCCAAGATTGCCTCCAAGGCCCTGAACACCTCAGGAGGGCCCCAAGTCGGCAGAGAGAGGCCCCCAAGTCGGCAGCCGACGGCGTCAGATGGGCCAGGAGGCCGTCACGACGGCCAAAGATGGCTCTAAGACGGCCCAAGACGGTCCAAGAGGTCTCCAAGACGGCCCAAGAGGCCCCCAAGATGGTCTCCAGGAAGGCCCAAAGAGGGCCACAATGATTTATGTTCCTAAGTTTTTGAAAGAATTTGGCATGTGCTTCTTTTCGGCCTTCCGACGGCCCGAGACGTCCCAAGAGTCCCCACAGATCGCCCAAGATGGCCTCCAAGATGGCCCCAAAACGGCCCGAGAGGCCCCCAAGACGGCCCCGAGGTCCCCAAGACGGCACAAGAGGCCTCCAAGACGCCCAATATGGCCTCCAAGACGGCCCTGGAGCACCGCAAGAGGGGCTTAAGTCGGCCCAGAGAGGCCCCCTAGACGGCTTCCGATGGCGTGAGAAGGGCCAGCACCAAGACGGCGAAAGATGGCTCCAAGATGGCGCCAAACGGCCCAATAGGCCTCCAAGAGGTCTCCAAGAATGCCGAAGAGAGGCCCCCCACGAGGGCCACAATCTTTGATATTCCCATACACTGTTTTTTGTTTGAAATGATTTTGGTATATGCTTGTTTTTGGCCTTCCGACGACCCGAGACGGCGCAAGAACCCCAAAGATCGCCCCAGGATCGTCCAAGCCTCCAAGATGGCCCTAGACCGGCCCAAGAAGCCCCTAAGACGGCCCCAGGAGGGCTCCAAGACGGCCCAAGAGGCCTCCAAGAAGCCAAACTTGCATCTAAGACTGTCCTGGAGCACCCCACGCGGGCTTCAAGTCGGCCCAGAGAGGACCCCAAGACGGCTGCCGACGGCGTCAGGCAGGCCACGAATGCCCTAAGACGGCCAAAGAAGCCCCAGAGAAGCCCCCAAAGGCCCCCCAAGAGGCCCAAGGAGGCCCCCCAAATGCCTCCAAGATGCTTCCAGAAGCTCCCATGAGGTCCCAAGAGTGCCCCCAGAGGCTCCCAAGATACCTTCTCCTCCTCCTGATCTTCACCGCCATCCTTCCCCAAGTGTTCCCCGAAGGGTTTCCACAACGGCTGGGGGACACTGGTCCGATAGCTTGGCAGAGCTCGTGCCACAATGCTCGGCCACATGGGCGATTCCAAAAGGCAGGGGGCGGCGTTGATTCGCCGAAAGCGTCGTCGTCAATCAACCGCCACCTGTTGCTTGCCACATGGGTTCACGGCGTGCCGAACGTTTGATTTTTTAGTCCTGTTCAAAAATTGCCACTGGCCTCCGGCCCAGCCCGCCAGCCATCCGGAAAGATCTCAATGTCCACGACAACACTCCACAAGACGGCCAAGATGGCCTCCACGACGGCTAAGATGGCTCCAATAGGGCTCAAAGACGGCCCAAGATGCACCCAAGACGGCCTCCAGACGGCCCAAGAGAGGTCTCCGGGACGCCCCAGGAGGGCTCCAAGAGAACCTACAAGAGGCCGAGATCATTGATTCACACCGAATGATTTTTCAATGATTTTAGCATTCACCCTTTCGGGCATCAAACGCTCCACGACGGCCCCATCGGCCACCAAGACCGCTCCAAGACGACCCAAGAGTCCCCCAAGAGGCCTGCAAGACGGCCCAAAAGGGCCTCAAGACGGCCCAAGAGGCCCCCAAGACGGCCCCATAGACCTCCAAGACGACCCTGGCTCGCCCTAAGAAGAAACCCCAAGACGGCCTCCGAATGCCAAAAGGTCCCTCCCTGAGGCCCCAAAGAAACTTCTGGAGGCTCCCAAGAAACCCAAGAATGCTCCGAAGAGACCCGTCAGAGGCCCCCAAGAGGCTCACAAGAAGTCCCCAGGAGACCCCAAATGCCCCAAGAGGGCCTCAAGAGGCCTCCTCTTCTTCCGTCTCCTCCCTCTCCTCCTCCTCTCTTTCTCTCCCGACGAATGTTACCCCAAAGGTTACGTTTGGTGGCAAGGACATTTCGAAGAGGCAGGGGGCGGGCGGTGGTGATTCGCCGTAGGCGTCTTCGATCCGCCGCCCCCTTTTGCTTGCCAAGGGACACTTTTAATGCCACTCTCGTGATGCCGTTTTCGCACTTCCAACATGTTCCCGATGGGGTCTCGGCGCATTCTTACAGCCACCCACGGCAACCGATCTCCGTCGGCGTTCCCGCTCAAGTTGGCTCCACGATGACCCTGGTGGCTCAATTATGCCTCCAAGACCGCCCAAGAATGTCCAAACCCAGAACAATCTCAAGACGGCCCAAGATGCCTCCAAGAAGCAATCCAGAAGGCGCACCAGGAGGCACTCCAGGAGGGCGCGGATAGGCCAAATCCATGACTTCCCGTGTGATATTTCAATGCTTTTCGAATTCTTGCCGATTCGGGCCTCAGACAGCCGAAGACTGCCCATAATCCTCCAAGATAGCCCCAGGCGGCTTTGAAACCATCAAGAGACAAGACGGCCCATGCATATTCCCGAGACGGGCTCCGAAGGCATTCGACTGGTCAAGGGAGCCCGCAGACGGACCAACATGTCCCCTGGTGCTTGGGTTTGGACGGTGGCTTTCGTTTCCCTCGCTGCCCTTCTCAAGTGTTCAGCTTTCCCCCACCAGTGAGGACCATCATCGTCCTTACCAGCGAGGACCGCAATAAGGCCGCACACCCTCCGCAACTTCCATCATAAGGACCGCGGGGCGTAAATCCCCACGAACCTGGCACCGTACGTGCAGTGCCGGAAGTGGCGGCCCGTCTTCTCATCCCGTCATCATAAAAAGGGGGATGCGAAGTCCCTGAAGACGGGACGGGGTGGGCACGAGCGGGCATCATAGCTGGCTCAATCAACAAAAAGGCACCAAAGCCTCATCGCTCATCTTAACATTACCTTCATTCCATGCGCAACACGCTCACCCCTAATGGACCGTGAACGGGACTCCGTCTCCTGCCGATCGACCAGTGCCGCCATCATAGGCAACCAGAGGGGCCATCACAAGGACCTCGCACCCAATACGAGGCCATCAGAAAAGAGTCGCTTTGGGAAGAAGGATCATCTCAGGCTTTCGCGTTCAATGCCTTACCAGTGAAGGCTGCCATGAGGCCTCACACCCTCCGCAGGTTCTATCATGGGGCTGCGGGGGCAGATCCCCACGAACCTCACACAAACGACTTCAGCGAAGATGACGACCACCACGACTGTGACTAGCGAAAGGACGCAGCAACGCGAGTGCGGGGGGCTGCCTCTGAGGGATTCGTGCTGCCCCGTATATGGGCTTCCCGGGGGGATAGGAGCGATGTGCTCGGCGGGGGCGTGACGCCGCGAGGTGGCTGCGGGTGCGGCGTGGCTCCCCACCTGTGGACCGCCCGATCCTTTTATCGTGTATTTTCTCGTGCCTGGGCTGGGACAATGGTCTTAATTTCTCTCACGGCTCTTTCTCTCCAGACTACCGGTGCGAGCGGGCGTAGCTGCACGAGTGCGGGGGTGTACGTACATGGGACTTGTGCTACCTCTCAAAGGGCTGCCCAGGGGGGCTAGGAGCGCGGTGTTCGACGGGGGCGCAACGCTGCGAGGTGGCGGCGGGTGCCGCGTGACTCCCCGTCTGAGGACCGCCCGCTCCTTTTGATCATGGATTCTCTCGTACTTGGGTTTGGACGGTGGCTTTCGTTTCCCTCACTGCCCTTCTCAAATGTACAACTTCCCCCCCCCCCACAGGTGAGGACCATCATCGTCCTTAGCAATGAGGACCGCAATAAGGCAGCACACCCTCCGCAGCTTCCATCATAAGGGGCCGCGGGGGCTAAATCCCCACGAACCTGGCACCGTACGTGCAGTGCCAGGGGTGGCGGCCAGTCGTCCCATCCCGTCATCATAAAGGGGGACGTGAATTCCCTGAAGACGGGACGGGGTGGGCGCGAGCGGACATCATAGCCCGCTCAAGATCAAAAGAGGCATCAAAGCCTCATCTCGTTCATCTTGACATTGACTTCATTCCATACGTCGCATGCTCTCCCCTGGAGACCCAAACACCACCCCCCCCACCCCCGCAAAATAAGAATTGCCCCCCCCCCCCCCCAAAGGTACCTCCTGCTCCTCGTCCTCCTTCTCTTCCTTATCCTCCTCCTCTCTGTCTTTCTCGCAGAAGCCTTTCTCCGAGTGTTTCCACAGCGGTTGGGGAGCACGTCGTTCAATCTATTGGCCATGCTTTGGCCCACCGTTTGGCTACATATGCGCTTCCCAGGGGGGGGGGTGGGGGATGGGGCGGCGGTGGTTCGCCATGGCGTCTTCGTCAGGGTGAGACATGGATGAGTGTGCCAGACAACGGTCGATGACATTCACGCTTGGATGCGATGGGGAGATGGCGACTCGAGACCTCGATGGCAAATATGACAAAGACGCCCATTTTGGCGGTGACGGTGAACCAAAACGATGCTGACCTTGAGTTTGAGTATGAGCTTGTTCATGCGATCATGCGGTGCTTGACGAAATCACCTTTCCAAATGCGTCGTATTCAAAATCCTGTGCAATTGGCAGTGGGTCTATTGCGTATGCTTGGAATTGACGATTCGGAAAATATGGTGCCCACTCTTCCAGCATAACGTGGGATCCGTACATCATAGGGATGAACTCATCAGTCGGCACCAGATTATGTGGAAGATCTGCTGCTACCATGCGCTTGGCCGCATTCGAAGAAAGCAAATATGCATTAGCCCAGTAGGAGTATTTTGCCCTCGCTATATTCGGCGAAAGATACTCTTCGGGCCCAACCTCAGGACGCTTCTGACGAGAAAGATACACAAAATCGAAATTAGCATCTACCACGAAAAGCTCCGCAAGACCTCGTTCTACCTGCAGCATGAAGTCATCCGCGAATTTTGGATCGTCTTCCAGGATGATGGCCCGGTGGTAGCGTTCTTTTTCTGCCATCTGCTTCCAAATGCTCCAACCCTTTTGGGGTCACCAGGCGTGTGTACCTCTTCTTCCCACGGCAACTCCCATCGGAACCGACATTGCAGAACTTGGCGTGGGCACGGGCTCATGAGGAGGGGTAGGGCTGACGACTTTAGAATTCCTGGGGCTCGGGAAAGCGCACTTGAGGCCCACCCCCCCAGAGACCTCAAGAGAATTTCCAGGCAGGCAGAATCGAAAACCAACACAACAAACTACCCGAATTCCCCCTCGAGGGTTCTAGTGGGGTCTCGCGCTCGAGAGGGGGGGGCGGTGAGAACCAGGGGCTGGAGGAATGAGAGGCCCCTCTTTCTTATTCTCTGCCTGCTCCTCCTCCTCCGCATCCTGCACCTCCCCCCTCCCACTCGGCGTGCTCCTCCTACATCGCTTTTCCTCCCCATCCTCTCCCTCACCACTGCCCCCTGAAGACTCACTCCAGGAACTCTCCTCCTTGTCCTGCTTCTCCTTACCTCCTCCTCCTTCTCCTCCTCCTCCTCCTCCTCCTGGTGCAACCCCTCATAAATAACACGGTCTGCGGATGACTGCTGCTGTCTGGCGTAGCACCCCCTGGATGGGGCAGACCGTACTGCTGGGAGTGGTGGCTCGGCAATGGCACGATCCCTGATCTCTCTCTCTCTCTCTCTCTATATGTATATATATATATATATATATATATATATATTCATATAGTTACAAATGCTAACCATCGCGCGCGCTTCGCGCACGTTCAAGTTCTAGCTAGGCTTGATGGGCTAACGCATGGAATTTAATCTTTGTCGTTTCTTGCATTCAAAGACTCTCTTGGAGGCCCTGCGCAAGCCTCGGAACCGCATAGAACGGGAACTGCAGAAGCGCAAACATCATCAACTGCCATTAGGTATTCAACGATCAATGGCCCTCGAAATCTTCCTGGCTTCTTGTCTGGGGCCTTCATTCTGGCCTGTTGTGCAAAAACAGACAGGGGACGAACTTGGGAAAAAAAACACGGAAGGGGGGTATTTTCATTTTTTTTTTCAAGTTGTAGTGCCTGGGCGGTGGGTCAAACGTTTTCTGCATGCAGGCCACGGTCTGTTGGGATGCCTCTCGGGGCCTTCGTGCAAGAATAGGCAAGGGGTGAGTTTGAACAAAAAGGAACTCTAACTTTCCACTGCTTCAACTCATGGGATCATGGGATCTCGAATTCTACAGTGGCTTCAGGGACAGCCAAGAGGAAATGAAGACGATCCAAGAGAGTACTAAGACAGTGTCAGAGAGTTCAACAACATTCCCGAAACATCTTTGCATGTGACCCCGAAGTCTTGGTGGCTCTCGAGGAAAAGGATAGGGAGTAGGAGTCCCAACCTAAAAAAAAAAATCGCACGAATCTCTGGAATTTCATTTTTTTCAAACTCCTCGGTCTTGGAGCGTTGGAAGCCGGAAAACGTGAGAAGGCGAAAGAAGTCAACAAAAACCACTGACAATCAACGTGTTCACCCTCTTCGGGCTCTCGGGACGGCTCTCGAAGCTCTCTTGGGCTGTTTTGGGGGCCTCGTCGGCGCTTTTTGGGGGGCCCTCTCAGGGGTCTGGGGTGTGTTGGAGGCCTCTGGGGGGTCCCGGAGCCCTCTCGGAGGTCTCTGGCGGCCTCGTGCTCCCGTTCTTGAACTCATCTGGGGCCTGTTCTTGGGTGGTCTGGAGCTGTCCAGGGCGGTCTTGGGGGCCTCTTCGGCCGTCTTGGAGAGTTGGAAACATGAAATGGTGAGAAGGCCAAAAACATTACAAACAACAGGGAAAATTAACGATTTTGGGTTCACCGAGCGCTCTCGGGACGCCTGTCGGAGCTTTCTTGATGTCTCTTGGAGGCCTCTCGGGAACCTGGAGCCGCCCGGAAGCTGTCCTGGGTTGCTTGGGAGCGTCTTGGGCAATTATTTTACGTTCTGGGGGCTTCTTAGGGTCGTCTTGGACTGTCTTTGGGCATTGTGGGGGCTCCCCGGGAGGCCGGGAAACGCGGTACCAAGAGCGTACCCGAGATGTTCCGGGAAGGTGTGGGATCCCCAGGAGGAGGGGGCGCGCATTTGTTGAACTTGAAGGAAAAAACATAATATATGATATTCCCGTGTTTTCAAACTCCTCGGCCAGGGAGCGTCGGAAGCCGGAAAACGTGAGAAGGCGAAAGAAGTCAACAAAACCCACTGACAATCAACGTTTTTACCCTCTTCGGGCTCTCTCGGGACGGCTCTCGAAGCTCTCTTGGGCTGTTTTGGGGGCCTGGTCGGATTTTTTGGGGGCCCTCTCGGGGGTCTGGGGTGTGTTGGAGGCCTCTGGGGGGTCCCGGAGTCCTCTCGGAGGTCTCTGGCGGCCTTGTGCTCCCGTTCTTGGGCTCATCAGGGGTCTGTTCTTGGGTGGTCTGGAGCTGTCCAGGGCGCCTCTTCGGCAGTCTTGGGACCGTCTTGGCCCATCTTGGGGCGGTCTTGGGGGCCTCTGGGGCGGTTTTGGGGGCCTCTTCGGCCATCTTGGAGCGTTGGAAACATGAAGTGGTGAGAAGGCCAAAAACATTACAAACAACAGTTGGAAATTGACGATTTTGGGTTCACCGGGCGCTCTCAAGAGGCCTCTCGGAACTTTCTTGAAATCTCTTGGAAGCCTCCTGGGAACCTGGGAAGCCGCCCGGAAGCTGTCCTGGGTTGCTTGGCGGCGCCTTGGGCAATTATTTTACGTCCTGGGGGCTTCTTGGGGTCGTCTTGGACTGTCTTTGGGCATTGTGGGGGCTCCCCGGGAGGCCGGGAAGCGCGGTGCTGGGAGCGTGCGGCAGATGCGGGCGAACTGGAGAACGCCCCAGGAGGGGGCCCGGCCCATCTGTATTATATATATATACACATATACACACACACACACTCACTAGAACAACGCGCGGGCTTCGCGCGCGCTTAGGTTCCAGCAGTGCCTACGGGGCTCTCGCATCCCAAGTTGGCCATTAGCAAGGCAAGTGTGTGATCAACACATGCAAACAAATTTCAAACACGACCGGGACATAGATGATTTTCGTTTCTTCGAGATGTCTCAAATGATGTTTTGGAGGCGTATTGGCCGCCCCGGACAAATCTTGAACGATGTTGACCCAAATTGAGCCGCGTAGGGTGCATCATTGGGCCATCGTGTGCTCTCTTGCTGAGATGCATCGTGGGTTTGCTAAGGCATCGGAGGTTTAGCAACGACGGGCTTATCTTTATAAGCGTTTATCGCGGCCTATATATAGGTTATAAATGGTCGCGCATGTCGGTGCGCGCGCACTCCAAACAGCATGTGTGCTTCTGCAGCTTCGCATACAACGTGGTAGTCAGCGCATCAGAAATCATAGCGCCCCCGCCTGCTGCATGCTACTCCACCCACGCCGATTTCTGAACAAGTAAACTCATACCTCCTCTTCTTCCATCTCCTCCTCCTCCTGTTCCTCCTCCTCCTCCCTCGCCCAAACGATCGCCATTGCTGCCTCCCCCATCCCCCTGCCCCTCGCCCGTGCGATCGCAATCGCTGCCTCCTCCATCCCCCCTCCTCCTCCAGCTCTCGCGACAATGAACCCGCGGAGCTAGTGCGTAAGCTCTGAATGAGCTGCAACTCTCGCGACCATGCGCCCGCGGAGCTATTGCGCCAGCTTGACGCCGATACCGCCGTCGTCGCCGTCGCCTCCAGCCTCGCCATCTGTTGCCTTCGTCGTCGTCGTCGTCGTGCTCCCGCGGTTTTGTTGAGCGAGCGTGAATTTAATGTGCTGATCGCTGGGCGCGAAGAGGGAGGAGGGAGGGGGGGAGGAGGGGGGGGGGGGAGGAGGAGGAGGAGGAGGAGGAGGAGACGGGGGAGGAGAAGGAGGAGGAGAAGGAGGAGGAGGAGATGGAGGAAGACGCGCCAGGTGCACGAGCCTTCTCTGCCTTCCTCCTTTCTCCTCCTCCTCCTCCTCCTCCTCGTGTTATTTGCCTCCAGCCGCGATGGTTTGGGCGCGCGCGTTCGCATGGGCATCGCTTCTGGTTGTGATGTGCGGCGGGCTTCGCGTATGCGAATGGTTTTTGTTCCTCTGGGTGCAGCGCGCGAGCGAATCTCATGCCCACGAAAACTCAAGTGGCAAGATGGTGCCGACGGTTCCGTCTTTGCATGCGCAGTGCTCTACTGCAGCCATAATGGCTTTGGTTTCCCAGCGCTGCGCTGGAGAATCTGCAATTGCCCACTTTGCCTGTGATGTCCCATAGGTGCGCTGGTGCAGTTCCATAACCTCCACCATAGACACAACGTCGCCACCGACATCGCAATGGAGCTTCACGCGGGCGACCGGTGTGCCATCGGCGCCATTCAATAGCACAGCGCCCCCTTGACTGCATAAGCCGAGCTGGCTGAAGCGGGCATCTTTGCCAACGTTAACTGGGGGATCACTGCCTTCCAGTCCCAATGCGTCCATTATGAGCTGTCTGCTTTTCTTGGGCGCTCTGCGTCCCTGCGCCGAGCCAACGTCGCAATCAAAACTGTGGCTCGTGATCGCAGAAAGGTGATAGCGCGCTCGCTCGGCAACGGCTTGCTGGCTGATCCCGTAATTTTGGCCAATTCGATTGCGTGCTTCTTTGGCATCCCATGTTTCCGCCCAAGGCGAAAACTATCTAATCGCCGCTGGTTTTCCCAAGAACTTCGGGGACGTGGAGAAGCCAATGGCCTTTCCGCGTTAACCGTTCAAACCAGAAAGCAGCAATGCACGAATCTGAAAACTTATGAACGCAATCCAAAGGCCTTGCTGGGCTCGCGTTGATCCGACTGGTAGCCGCCGCGAGCTGCGATATCTGGAAATCATCGCGTCGCAAGCTGCACTGCCTGAGCCCATGGGTCATGAAACTGCTTGCGTGGACAGCATCGGCGCGCCCAGACTAGTCAAATCAAATGCTTGGCATTTTATGTGTTTGGCCTTTCTGTGCTGTCTTTCCGATCAACATCAAAAATGCAAGCCACATTCGTCGCGTGGAACCTTT